TAGGGTTTGGTCAACATTTGGACATTGGACCATTGGAGGGGTAAAATGGTCTTTTTCCCTTCTGGGAAATTTTAGGAAGGGATTAGTCTAGCCTATGAGAATCGTGTTAATAAGAGATAAATTACTTTATGTGATTAAGCGGAGGCTAGATCGGGGATATCGAGCATGGGAGTTTACTAGACATCATACGAGGTGAGTTTTCTCACTATACCTTACCTATAGTGGTAATTATGTGTGACCGGAAGGTCTTATGTGCTATGACGAGTATCTGATATATGTTTCTATGTTTCTATGTATGTGTTATGTATGTATTGAGTAAGAATGGTATGGACCGGAAGGTCAATATGGTATGGACCCGAAGGTCGAAAGAGTAGGACCGGAAGGTCTACTCAGATTGTGGGACCGAAAGGCCCCTGAGACACATTGACCGGAAGGTCTCGTAGAGCTACAACCTCGAGTGGCTTATGTGCTGTATGTAGTGTTTTGGGGAACTCACTAAGCATTTATGCTTACCGTGTTATGTGATATGTGTTTCAGGTACTAGCAAGGATCGCGGGAAGGCGCCGGCGTGATCTGTACACACTGATAGAGGATTATGTATTTGAGATTCTGGGATATGTTTTATTATGATGACATTTGATACATGAGATTTTGAGAATATTATATGAGTTTTATTATGTGGAAAAATGAAAAATTGTTTTAAAATTTACGTCGTTACAGAAGAGCTCTCCCGGATGGCCAAAAAGTGGGCATTCTTGGACAATCGATCCACGATGACCCATATAGCATCAAAACCCTTTTGCCGTCTTCGGCAACTTTGTGATAAAGTCCATGGTGATCTGTTCCCACTTCCACATGGGAACCTCGAGAGGCTGCAGCTTGTCATGCGGCCTATGATGCTCAACCTTGACCATCCTACAGGTCAAACATCTCTCGACATAGAAAAACGAGACTTATGAGCCTCCTCTAACACAATCTGTCTGAACCCACCAGAAACTGGGACCCAGACCCGACCACATTGGGTCAATAACCCTCGACAATCCGTGACAAATCTGTTAATCTCACCTCTAGGGCTACCTGCCTTACTTAAGCTTCCGTATTCACATGTAAATACCCCCCTTAGGGGCTCTCTATTTTCGTCCCTCCACTCCCTCATAAAAGAGCCGAAATTTTGCTCTCCTCTCCCTCCTCTTAAAGTCTTCTAGTTGCTATGGTTTTAGGTACAAGCCATTAGAGGCATCCAAGATTTTGGTGCTTGCTTTACAAGGAATTCAAATGAGATTTTGGTTGATTAATTGCTACATTAATCAAAAGATATGTCACCCTAAACCTTCTTGTAATTTCGATTATACTAGGGTTTCTTGATATTCATAGTTAGTTGCAATCAACAGAGGAAACACATATCCTTTCTAGGTTGCATGCAAACTTAAAAGTTTAATAGTTTTTCCGTCACATGAAATTTTTATAACCTAAAAAAACCATCAAATACGTGGTCGCACATGGACGATGGTCTAGTTGCCGAAGACAAATTAATAGAAAAGATGTGGTCGCACAAATATATATGGGGATAGTGAAGACAATTTAATGGAGGGAGTGTGTAACGACAACCAAGGGTGGAGTCCAACTAGGTGTTCTCGAAGGTG